TAGAGTTATACCTGACTTATCACTGGCATTAACGTTAGCTCCATGATTTAAAAGTAATTCAGCAATTTCCATTTTCTCATATTCAATCGCATAGTGAAGTGGAGTTCTGCCCGACCGCCAAGTTTTAGCATTAACGTTAGCACCTTTGTCAAGAAACATCTGAACAAATTGTTCACGTCCTAATTCAGCAGCAAAACATAGTGGTGTATCACCTGTTGTAAATGTAGATATATATGTAAAATTAACATAAACTCCATGTTTTAAAAAATGTTCAAAAATTTATATAATCTGTCAAGTGCATTATAGAGTTATACCTGACTTATCACTGGCATTAACGTTAGCTCCATGATTAAAAAGTAATTCAGCAATTTCTAATTTCTCATATTTAATCGCATCATGAAGCGGAGTTATGCCATCCAGAGTTTTAGCATTAACGTTAGCACCTCTGTCCATGAGCATCTTAACACCATCTACATGTCCTTTTTGAACAGCAAGACACAGTGGTGAAATTCCTGAAAAGGAAGAGATGTATGTAGAAGTACCTCTCCAATCAAACTTAATGTTCAAAAAGACGTTCATCAATCTGTAAATATTTTTTCTCAGCTGCAATATAAAGTTATACCTGATTTATCACTGGCATTAACGGTAGCTCCATGATCTAATAGTAATTCAGCAATTTTCATATTCTCAAATTTAGTCGCATGATGAAGCGGAGTTGTGCCATCCAGAGTTTTAGCATTAACTTTAGCACCTCTGTTCATGAGCATCTTAACACCATCTACATGTCCTTTTTGAACAGCAAGACACAATGGTGAAATACCTGAAAAGGAAGAGATGTATGTAAAATTACCTCTCCAATTAAACTTAATGTTCATAAAAACGTTCATCAATCTGTACCCAGCAAACAATTTCTGACTGCGCAGACCTGGCAACAGAAACTGTGTGCAGAAATGCTACAATACGGAAACATGCTTCGTGTGCTGCTAAAGCTGTTAACACACAGACACAAAAAACGCAACCTGGTCACCAAAACTCACCAAAACCATATCCTACTGAGGACACAGATGGATATGGATTTGATGTGGCGGTTGGCGACAAAATCGCAACATTTGACAACCAAATTGTTTGCTGGGTAAATATCTTTTCTCAGCTGCAATTTAAAGTTTTACCTGACTTATCACTGGCATTAACGTTAGCTCCATGATTTAATAGTAATTCAGCAATTTCCATATTCTCAAATTTAATCGCATGATGAAGCGGAGTTGTGCCATCTTGAGTTTCAGCATTAACATTAGCACCTCTGTCCAAAAGCATCTGAACACCACTTACAAGTCCTTTTTGAACAGTGAGACACAGTGGTGTAATACCTGAAAAGGAAGAGATATATGTAAAATTAACTCAAATTAATGTTCAAAAAGATGTTCATCAA